CATAACAATAAAAAGCTAAAGAAGGAAGCATAAGAAAAGGCATTGTTTTAAGTAGTGTGGATAAAACTGGTATCTGAAGCAGCTGTTGTTTTAAAAGGGAACATCCATCATGGTAAAGAAGAAAAGTGAATTACAGATCATTATGGAAGATGGTTTGTATGCTCTCCAGTATTTAGCAGTATTCAGTGTATCTTGCATTTAGCATCTTAGAAAAAAAGTAATTTGTACCGGTTTCACGTTCAGTTTTCAAAGTATATTTGCTATCACTGCACAGAAAAACTTGATTAATTGCACATTTTTAGAAATATCACAAAAAATACATTTTAAAATTCAGATCAGGCCAAATTGATGACAAGAAAAAGCTTCTTTTTCTCTACTATTAAGATGATGACAACAAATGTGATGGTTGATTTTGCTTTGCAGTTGGGATGGAGATTGATGGACAAGTGGAGAGCGACACAGAAAGTGAAGGTAAATAAAATATGAATAGCTGCTGTTTTTGGAAAGTGTGTTAAAGAATTTATTTTCCTGAGAATGCATGCAATGCATATAAATTGAGATCTACCGACACTCATTTAAGCATTGATCAAATTACTGTCACTGTTTCCACACTTGAATAAAAACAAATCTGGACTTTATATAGAACTTAACTTTTTTAAAAATATTTTGTTAAGGGCTGAGGCAAAAAACAATCTTAATATACAAAATCACTGATGTGAGTAACCTTTAAGTTTAAGCATTCAGATTACAAGTAAGGTTCCTGAAATGTAAAATTATTGCAACTTCAACTTCAGCTTTTGCTTCAGTGCTGCCTATCAAGGAAATTTGACAATTCCCTAAGAGTAGTTGATACCAATAGACTCCTCTAACATTTCGTTTTTCCTCATACTGAACTTAAAGGCTGCAAAAAATCTGATGAACCATAAAATGGAATTTAAAAGTTTGAGATTTTAGTGGTTATCTGTATTTTTGCAGTTCGGATGGCAACTGACTAATTTTTCAGTTTGTGAATTGTTAAATTGATATTAGGAGAAGCAGAAGAACAGAGCTGCAGTTTTCAGGAAAATTTATTCATTTTTACAATATAATAGCCCATTATATATTTCACTTTCAGCTATTTTTCTGCAGTTTAAAAAGCAAAATGAAATATTATTCTCTCTTAATGCATCAAATATATCACTAATATATTCCAGGATATCACTCCTAAGTCATTATCAATGCCTAAGTATCACTATTATATTTATAATTTACACAGAAAGGGGATGGATTCAGATATATGAATAATTTAAATTCCATTGATTTCAATAGTTCTTTTCTAAGTAGCAGTAAGTTTGGATTTTGCAAAGTACAGCATTTTGAAAAGACTGAAAAGAAAAGTCATTATTTTACATTTACAAAATATCTGCATTTGTCTAGTGAAAGACAATATTCTCAATAACTTCAAACTCTTCAGGTTTTTTTTTAAGTAAAACACTTTTTAAAACACAGATTATGACTATGAAGAAGAAGAAGAGGAAGAAAAAGTAGCCCAAAAAAAGAATATAAAGGAAATCGCCAAGGTAAACAGAAAAGCGAGTTATGATAAAGACACTGATGATGAAAATGAAGATCTAGATGTATCCAGGAGGAAGAAACCAAATAAAAAGAAAAATCAGAAAGCATATAATGATAACGAAGAAAACAAAGAGGAGGAAACAGTAAAAGGGAAGAAAAAGAAAGATAAAAAGCAAAAAGAGTTTGAAAACAAGAAAGCAAAAGGAAAGGACAAGAAAAAGAAGAAAAATACAGGTGAAAGGTATGACATTTTCATTATTCCCCAGATCAAAAATCCACATTTGTTCTTAATAATAAGCATTCTGTATATGAGTACAATGGAAAATAATATATTTCCCATTCATTTCACTGACTGGCAAATTACTGGTTTTTAATTCTGCTATCAAAATGCATCAAAATACTATGCAATGAAGCTCAGTGAAAGACATGTAATTATGTTCTGTGTTTGAGCAATCTGGCGCAAACCAAACAGCTCATCTGAGAGTTGTCAGGATAATTTGTGTTTTTCCCCAGAGTAAATCTCTGAAACTAGAAACAATTTGTGGAGTTCTAGACTGCATCAAATTACCATGGAAATGCATTAACACAGCTTTAATCCCAGAAACTCATAATGTTTAAGCATAATTTGAAAGTTCTGTACTGTATTCAGATATTCCAATCCCAATCCATAGGCATTATAGGAAGAGAATCATGTCTGTCAATGGTGGTCAAGTGAAAAACTGTTAAATTTACATATTCAAAAGGTTTCAAACTTCCTCTACAAAAACACAATGGATTTTTAACACATCACAACTGTTAACTGATATTTGTATTCTGTCTCACATGTAACCTATGCCTGCATAACCAACTGTTTCCCTGTTTTTCTCCACCACCTCATCTCAATTTAAATTTTACATCAGTCTAATCATTCCACTGACTCCAATGAAGTGAGCTAAAATTCTCAAAAGCTTATGCTTTTTAATAAAATTTGTTAGTGTGAAAAAATTGCTCCCAAATGGCTTATGTATCTGAAGCATGTTGTCTGAGAACAACCTTTAGGTATGTGTAGTAGTATAAATTGAGCTGCTGCTGATGTTACTGCCCATGTTACAGCCTATCATATTGCATAGAACTGGAAGAACAGGACTGGGACCTGTGGCCTCAGAGTTGCCCATGTCCAGGGCAAGATGTTATTTTCACAGAAGTATCGGTAGCACAATTGAGTCCCCCATATCTGTTGTTAAATGAAACATTTGTTAAGTGAGTTTTGCCCCATTTTATGCCACAGTTGTTAAGTGTAATACTGAAGTTGTTAAGTTAGTAACATGGTTGTTAAGTGAAGCTGGCTTTCCCCATTGATTTTGCTTGTCAGAAGGTTACAGAAGGTGATTGTGTGACCCCAGGACACTGCAATCGTCATAAACATGAGTCAGTTGTCAACTATCTGAATTTTGATCACGTGACCATGGGGATGCTGCAACAATCATAAGTGTGAAAAACAGTCATGAGTCACTTTTTTTCAATCTCATTGTAACTTTGAATGGTCACTAAATGAACTGTTGTAAATTGAGGACTACCTCAATTTAATATTAAATTGAATTTGTAGGGCTAGTAGTGTATGATGATGATTATTTGTATCGGCAGTATTAGTTGGGCACTTGAGGGATGCAAGAGTAGGGAGTGATAAAGGACTTCTAAGTACAAGCAGGCATGATAAAGCTATTGAAATGCTGGGAAGCTATTGCTCATCACATTCTTGGCCAGTCTTTTAAGTAATTTGATACAGCATGGAACTAAAACCATGTTTGCCCAACTTATCTGTTGTTGACAATTCCAACTTCTGTCTCTCCTACGATCATCAAATCACCCAAGTATTTGTCCTGCTGCTATTTTGATCACACGCCCATTTTTCTGCATAGGATGAGCTCTTTATTTGCTAATTTACCAAAGGATGTATATCTATGCTCCCAAGGCCTGGATCCAGAGTAATCAGACAAGTGTCTTCTAAAAAATTATAGCAAGGATCAATTTTCAAAAAAGTATTAACCTAAGTGTATCAGAAAGTAATGATAAATAGGAAAAACCAACATGTAAATATGAAATAACGTTGGCAAAGTAAGGACTTCTGCATCAGATCTAGTCATCCCCTCCAAAAACTGATAGTTCTCCCGAAATTTCCTCTGTGTGCTAGTGGGAAGTATATTATTATATCCTTTCCCACTCCAAATGTTATTGTGCTTACCCAAGTGATCTCCCCTAGCCTGGTAGGTCCTATGGGGGGAAATTTTAGTTTCAGTTGCCAATATCTTGTTCCTAAAATTATCCATTAAATTCTATATTATGAGTCTCCAACCTTTTGGCTCACCTGAATCACATTGAGTGAAGATGAATTATCTTGGACTGCATATAAAATATACAATATAGTTAATGTATATTAATCATATAATAATGTCAGATGTCTAGAATCTTGTGGGGTCACATTACTAACTGTCCAGGACTGTGGGTTGGACATATCTGCTGTAGTGCTTCAGGCGAATAATTTGCCCTCCTACCACTAGCATATGCTATTTCTTTTAATGTCCCTTCTCCCTAAAACTTTAATTTTCTTTACAACCCATTTTTCTTTCTATTGAATAAACTATAGACATCTACTACATAAGCTAATACATATATACTCTTGAATACATACTATGTAAGTTTCAAATGGTACAAAACACAGCAGGTCAGAGAGTTCTGGAGTCCCTTCAGGTAGCATATACACGTGAGAGCTGCATTGGTTGCCGGTCTGCTTCCAGGTCCAATTAAAGTGTTTGGAAGGGTCTTTTCAGTTCTGCCCTTCGGAATATTCTCCTGCTGGAGGTGAAGTCAGTCCCCACTCTCCTGGTCTGGTCTCCAGCAGCTGGCTAGGGCCCCAATAGAGATACTCTATACGGGGCTGATTGATGGGTAGAGAGAAGATCCTTAACCCATGTCCCCTGTCCTCTTGGTCTCCAGCCTTTATTTAATAATTTTTAACTATAATTGTTTTCTATTATCTTTTTATCATTTTTAAGCTTCTTGGAATCACTGTGACAATAAATGGGCAGTATGCAAATCTAATAAATTATAAATAAGCTAACCACCCACAGCTATTTAATATCTAATATTATACTTTTGATTAAAATACCAACAAAATAAACAATTGATTTCAAAGGCAGATTTAAAAATGGCAAATGCTAGCAAGCTATTTAAAAACAGGTGCATATAATATGTTGAAAATATATAACACAATTTCATACAGTATTTTTAAGAATTATTACTGTATACGTAATTGTGTGAATTTGGATTTGGTTTGATTTTGGGTTTTTACTCCTAGTTCCTCCTCATCCACTCCAAACTCTTCAGATGACGAATCTCTCTCTGAAGAGGAACTGGACAAGCTAAAAGAACAGGTAGAAGAAAAGAAAAAACTCATATCTATCATACGAAACAAACCCTGGCGCATGGCAAAGAAATTAACTGTGCTAAGGTACAATATCTTGATGATTACTGTTCACATGACTTCTAGGCATATAAGCATGAGTTTATGTAGGCATTCCGTTCCACGTTCGACAAAGATTATATTCTGTGGCTGTTGGTTGAACTTCTTGAGCATCCTATTCCTAGTCAAAAGGCTTTGCTCCATGGTTGGCTTAAAAGTAAGTTGTTGTTTTTTTTAATCCATGTAGCTAGAAAACAGAAAACTAGAAATCAGTTCTTGGCTGATTTTGTGCATTAATTAAAAATATAAACCTGAATGATTAGAATGGCTGTATTCTCTGGCCTTTTTGATTGTTGTTTTTTTCCATAGGAATCAAGTGACTTTCAGCACTTTCACATGTTAATGTTTCTAAGACTTTAGACAAAACATATTGCTATGATTACTCATTTGCCACATTTATTTAAGAGAATGATTTAATATGTCTGAAATCAATATGCCCTTCTCACAGTTACCCATCTTAGGTTATAATTGTCTAGACTATTATAACATGCTTTACATGGAGCTGACCTTGAAGAATATTTAGAAATTTCTGTTAGTTCAGAATGCAGTGGCCTGAACAGTTTTGCACAGATCTAGACTTACACATGTCTCAATTCTTCTGCAATGGTTATCAATCTTGGTGGTGACCCCTTCTTTAGGGAACATCACTACTCCTGAGGTATAGTTGACCTCCACTTTGTTGTTTTTCTAAAGGGCTCTAAAAAATGGTTTCGTCAGTGGGCCTGGGGACCATGAATGGAGATAGAGCCAATCATGACTTATTTGATTGGGTTGCTATTGCCTTAGGGAGTGAGAGCAAATAGCTTTTTTTAATGGATTTTTATCATACAGTGGATTTTTCAATGGTGTAAACCACTTAGAGTCACCTATGTGTGAGTTGGGCAGCTATATAAATTTGTTTAATAAATAAACAATAATAAAATACATACATACATACATACATACATACATACATACATTCATAAATAAATAAATAAATAAATAAATAAATAAATAAATAAATAAATAAATAAATAAATAAATAAATAAGAGCTCCTTCTCATAAAACAGAGAAACTGCATGGATGAAATTCAGCTTTAATTTCTGTCATTTCACCAAACTGAAAATAATGGTAAATGACCTGCTTCGGAGGTTTAGAGAAAGCAGTGCAGGGCTAGAAGCATTAATTATTTGACTCAGTACATGTACTAATTCATACAGATTAAATGTTGCTCAAGATTTGCTATAAAAAGAGAAAGAAGAAGGTTGGTGCTATAAAGAAAGCAAATCCAGGGTTTGGACACTAACGGATTAAAAAAGAATTCTGCAAAGGAAGTAAGATTTTGTAGTATATCTACCTACATCACAAATGTTACAGTTTTTCAATGTGTGACCTACTAGAAATTTTTCATAAGCTTATGGAATTATGGTTTTACAGTGATCTGTAGATCTTGGAGAAAACTCCAGTGCCTGTAATGAAAACATATCATTCATTACAGCTATACATTTAACATCTCAATGTGAATAAATTAGGTGCAGTTTGCCAGCTGAACTAAACAGAAGATTATATTAGATTAGATTAGATTAGATTAGATTAGATTAGATTAGATTAGATTAGATTAGATAATCTTTATTGTCATTTTTTACTATGGGCACAACGGCACACATAAAAATGAAATTTAGTTGCTTGCTCTCAAATTGTACATATACATAACATACATTTAAACATCCTATATACAATATATGTATAGACCTACACCCTTACATATACGTAACATATAAATATTAATCACTGACCAACTTGAATATATAACAGAAGGAGGAAGCTTTAGAGTTCACAAGGTTAATACTGTATGGAATAAAACTGTGACTGAATGTTCTGCTTCGGATACCACGGAGCCTCCTCCCAGAAGGTAAAAAGGAAAACAGGTGGTGAAGAGGATGTGTAGTGTCCCAGACAATCTTATGGACCCTGCAGAGGCTTCCTGTTTGCGATCGCGGCACTAGAGGACATGCGGGGCAATCGCTCTCTCTGCTGTCTGGTTTTCTCCCACCTGAAAAGAGTCGGAAGTCATCCTGGAAGGGCGACGAGTGTGAAGAGGACTCCTGAGCAATAGCAGAAGGGTGGCAGCCCTCCTGTTTGATCCTGGGCAACTGTTCAAACTAATAGGGAAAAGATCGGCCATTAACAAGCAAGCCACTACCAGCCGAGACCAAAATTACTAACAAGCACTTTGAAAGCACCGCGGAGGAATTGGGTGAGATCCTACCTTCTTTCTACCCCAAGTATTTTTCCTGTAAAAAGCCTCTGGAAATTTCTTCCCCCTGTGAAAAGAGAGGGAAGGGAACATTTTCCTCCCACCCTCTAAAATGGCAGCGCCTGATTACCTAGGGGAAATAAAGCCTTGAAAAGAACTATTAAATAATTGGATTTGCTTCTTTTTGATATTTTGGGACCCAAAAAGTTCCTACTTTCACGGGGATTTGCTACTCTATCTACTCGTAAAAAAGATGAAAAAGAACTTTAACTGGATAAAAACCTAGCCTGGGATTTGAAAAAAGATTTTAAATGCTGTCAAGGATATCTTGTGGCGAAACTTGGTACAGCAAGTGAATATTCTTGACAAAAAGACCTGCTCATAGCCCAGATCTGTCCTTGGTATTATCTAAAAGAGATTAAAAGCTGAGAGAACAGCTGGGTGATGAAATTGCTTTTTAGGACTGTGGAGGTGAATACTTACTGACTCTCATTTAATAAATAGCCTTCACTAAAGGACTATCTATAACCACATCAGAAATGGAGGAGGACCAGCAACAAATTTCACTTAACTACAAACTTATACTTGAAAAAATTCTTGAAGCTACTGAGATAATTAAAATTATACTGAAAGACAATCTTAAATCTACAAAGCAAAACCCTGATTGCAACCAAAGAACCTACAATTCAAAAAACAACAGAAGTGGAAGAAATTAATACCAAGACAGAGGACTTTAAAGAACAACAAGTACAATGTACTGAAAATCTAGACAACCAAATCCTGACTTCAACTAAAGAATTTACAACCCAAAAAACAACAGAAGCGGAAGAAAGTAATACCAAGATGGAGGGTGCTAAAGATCAACAAGTACAGCCTACTGAAAATCTAGACAACCAAACAACAACCATAAAATTGGACATGACTTTTTACTTAGATTAGAAGAAACCTGAGGAAGAAGACCCGATGGAATTGAAGACAAATATGTTAGTGCAAATATGGGTATCTGGGCTACCAGGGTGACAACGACCATAAATGGGCCAAATCCTCTGGAAAATTGATAACTAGATGGTCTCCTTTGGTTCAAGTAACATGTACAAAAATGAAGGGAGATCTATCTGATGATCTAAAGGCATTGGTATGGAAGCCTGGTTGGCATAAAAAGAAAGCTAGAGTTAGATTTTAAAAAGGGAGTCTTTTGATTTATTAGAGAGGACTCTCAACTAATGGGCTAAAGGGAGATTTTGAGATGAAGGGAAATATGATTATTAGATTTAACTATTGTTGGAAAATGATAAAAAATAAGGGATTAATTGGCCTAATACTGAGGATTTAGATTTATAAGGGAAATGAAAATTATTAGGGAATAGCTTCGAATTATTGTTTAGCCCAGATAACACAGACAATGGATTTGAGACAATGAAGGATACTCCATTAGTAAGTAGTGATTTACTAGGATGAGAAATAGAAAATGTTTATAAAATAAAATAAGAATATATTCAAGTAAGTAATAGGTGTATTATAGATATAATTTTTATATAGTGAAATAAAGGAAATTTGGGTTACCCTAAATACTATGGATATTAAAGGTTAAATTGGAATATGGTAATTAAAAATTAAAAATTAGGTAAAATTTAAATACAGGATGTGGATATATATAAGCAAAAATATAATGATAAATGTTTTAACTGAGCTTGTTATAATTAGAAATTTGCTAGCTTAAATATGATATAGCAAATGTTAAGGGAAATGGAGAAGGAATTTTTTGATGATGTAACCTGAGATATGTACTAAACATTTTGTTATTGTACTATTGACTACCCAATCACCGTGCTGCTTTCCAAATACTCAAATGTAAAAGTCGGAAACCAATAAAAAACTTGTTATAAAAAAAAATCTTATGGACCCTGCTGAAGCAACGCTTATGTGCTTTGTCCTGGATGGAAGGGATCTTTTCAGCCATCCTCACCACTCTCTGAACAGAAGAGATTTGGTGAGGGTAACTTATCTATATATGATGAGAGGTCATCCTGAATTCAAACAGTAATTCACTAACAATATTGTATTATTAAATAGAAGTGATTAAATCAGTTTATAATGCAGACAGAAATTATCTTGGAGAAGGAATTTCAGATCTATTGTTACTTCAAATTTCTATAATTAGACCATGAATCAGTTTTTATTTTATTTATTTATTTTTGTCAAATTTATTTGCTGCCCCTTTCGTGGTTCAAGACAACCCTGAGCAGCAGAATTAGCTCTGTGAGTTCAACCACAGTATTTTAATATTTGCAGTATACTATATTATGATTAATGCCAGAGTAAGTTTTAGAAGTCATTTTAACCAACTATTTCTGATGGACAGGTATATTACATCACATCACATCACATCATATCATATCATAATAGATAAGTATAATCTTTTTCAAATTTTTTTTTACTTAGGGAGGCTCAAGATTTTGTAGAAAAATTTGAAGGTGCTTTGGGAAAGGGAAAAGGAAAAAAGTTGTATGCATATAAGATGATGTTGACAAAGGTAAGTGCCATAAGAATTTGGGTTAAGCAATTTTTCCCATACTTATTATATCGGCATTGTTCATAAGATGTTTATACTACTGAAATTTGGAAGTCTATACAACTTATATTAAAAATGAAAATACTGATACGAGTTTCAAAACCTAAAATTCAATGTTTGGCCGATAGTAAATCTGAAAACTAACTTGGATAGATGCATCTCTTCCACTGCATTCTCTAAACACTTCATTCTAAACACTTTGAAGTCTACTCTCTTCCCCAACTTGTTAACAAAAGAAATGCAGTTGTGTGCAGAGTACAAAGAGTGTTAAGACTAAATAAAACAAAGAACAGGTATGACTACAAGTTGTCCCTGTCTTTTTTCCCCACCTTTAATTATGTTGCTAATGAATCTTTTTTTAGCAGGAGTATGTACTGTAAGAAAGTTATTAATACCACTTTACAATGCCTTGGTAAAGCCACACTTGGAATACTGCATCCAGTTTTGGTCACCACGATGTAAAAAAGATGTTGAGACTTTAGAAAAAGTACAGAGAAGAGCAACCAAGATGATCAGGGGACTGGAGGCTAAAGCATATAAGGAACGGCTGCTGGAATTGGTATGTCTAGTTTAACGAAGAGAAGGACGAGGGGGGACATGATACCAGTGTTCCAATATCTCAGGGGCTGCCACAAAGAAGAGGGAGTCAAGCTATTTTCCAAAGCACCTGAAGAAGCAATGGATGGAAACTAATCAAGGAGAGAAGCAACTTAGAACTAAGGAGAAACTTCCTGACAGTTAGAACAATTAACCAGTGGAACAACCTGCCTCCAGAAGCGGTAAATACTCCAACACTGGAAGTTTTTAAGAAGAGACTGGACAGCCATTTGTCCGAAATGGTATAGGGTTTCCTGCCTGAGCAGGATTAGATGGCCTCCAAGGTCCCTTCCAACTTTATTATTATTGTTGTTGTTATTATTATTATTATTAAAGCAACCTTTTAAAATCTTCTGAATATTTCTGACAATCATTTCCTTGCCCTGACATAAGGAAAAATAGGAAATTATATTAATTTTTACAAGCTGAATAGCAGACATTAAGTAATACTTTCTTTAGCCCTCCATGTTCCCAATCACAATAGATAATGTGGATTGGAGGTTAGGCAAAAGCTATTTCTTTTCCTAGTATTAGCAATAACATGGCAAAATCAAAATGCTGGGGAAATGCAGCATGTCAGCAAGATAAAGGCAGCCTCCCAGAAAGACAATTACATCCTCATTGCTACAACTGTTCTGGAAAAGAGAAAATGAATATGGGTTCATGCAGAACAACCTCTAAAGCCAAGTCCAGCCACAAAAACTGGAGAACTCATCCACTGTTGGCTATATGGTCTATTATTAAAGGATCTGATGCAAATTTTACAGTGCCAGCTTTTGGGATGCCCAGAAGAGAAGTTTAGACTCCTTTTATAAGACAAAAGTAATAGAACTGGCCTAACTTGAAGAGCTGAAGAATTAAGAGTTAAAGAACTAATGGTTATTACTCTTATATTTCACTGAACAGTCAGGTAGAGGTTTAGATTGGATTTGGCATTTTGGCATTTTTAATCCCATTGAGTTCTTTCCGAGTATCTGAGATAGGCAGATATTGTATAATGGTGTCATCGCAGGATGTGTGCTGTTCCAAATAAAGCTGCCATTTTGCAATTGACTGGTGGTGATTTTTATCAATGCAAATAGTGTTCAGGTTGTGCTCCAGTGCCATTTTGCAATTGACTGGTGGTGATTTTTATCAATGCAAACAGTGTTCAAGTTGTGCTCCAGTGCGTTTGGAGGCAAGCTCAAAGGAGGTCTGTGAGGCTGCTCCGGGGAAGGTCATCCCACCCCTCCTCACAAGGAACACCTGGCTTGGTTTGATTTAAGCAGAGGCAAGGGGAGATTGTCTTAGTCAGGAACAATTGTTTTGCTTTGGCATGCACTTTCCCAGCCTTGGAAAAACTCTGCCTTGTATTGTGCTTCTGCCTGTGGAACTCAACCTTGCCCTGTGGACCTGGAATCTTGTGCACAACTTATAGACCTTGCTGTGTGTACCTGTATCCTGTTTTTGGGCTTCCTCTCTTCTTTTGCTATTTGGCTCTGTTGGTTATAGGCTTTGTTTGTGGAACTGTGGGTGGCTTCCTTCAGTGAAGTTTGGGGTGGACCTTTGCCAGCTGTTTCAGGGCAATTTGTTGTAGAATTAGCAGAGCAATAAAGGAATCAAAGCTTGCCTCTGCCTAGGTGAGCTGGGTCATAACAGAAGGTTTTGCTGCCTAGAATAGCATACCAAATGGTGATTTTCTGTTTTGACAAGGCAAGATACCAAATAACAACACTTTTTTTTTCCATTTGAGTTATACAATTTTTAAAGAAGCTCTCCCCTGTGTGGGTACATAAAAAATAACAAAATCTTGCATAACTACTGTTCTCTGTAATTATGCAACTGTCAAGTTTACTTTTAATGGTATTCTTGGAAAAACAAACAGAAAACATTTCTTCCTTCTGACCACTCAGAGGGACCAAGTTTAATTGAAATGCATCAGATTTAAAAACCCAGCACATCTTCAGTTTTCATGTTTTTCACTAGCATTTAAACTCTAAAGCATTTCCCAAGTCTTTCTTTACTTTAGCCTCCAATAAAAGCACATTTTGCTTTGTTTCTTTTCAGAAATGGGTAAAGTTTAAGAGAGATTTTGATAATTTTAAGACACAATGTATACCTTGGGAAATGAAGATAAAAGAAGTTGAAAGTAAGTTAACATTTTTCCACTTAACCTACATGTCTAAATATTATTCTGAATTCATAACACAAAACCAGTTGAGAATGGATGAAGGCGGGGCTTATATAAGTTGACAGACAGTCTTTGAGACTGTGAGAAAATGTAAAGTAACCTGGGAGGAAATTATAAATCTGATTGAATCAGATTTCAGTTTCAGACGTTTGCTCCTTCCTCCTTCCCCAAAAGAACTTTGGAGAAAGAACTGAATGCATAGTACTAGACATTGAGTCATATTTAAATTGATAACTCATTACAAATCTATCCTGTTCTCTGGAAAATTCAGTTTTAGGACTTTTCTAATTGAAGCTTATTTATTTTTTAAGGTCATTTTGGTTCTTCGGTGGCATCTTATTTCATATTTCTGCGATGGATGTATGGCCTAAACCTGGTTCTGTTTGGCTTAATATTTGGACTAGTTATAATTCCAGAAGTAAGTATATACATTAAATAGTTAATTTGAGAAGTGTAGTTATCTACCCTATAAGTAGAATTATAGGTACCAGGTTTTTTGAGACTATATATATAAAATCACAATACATTTATCATTCCATGCAACTATAATTTTAAACCTAAATGTTTTTTTGGGGGGTGTGTGGGGATAATTTCTTTATCATGCTAGTTACTTTTATTGAATCAATTGCCTATTTGCCAATGTCTGTGGCTGGCTTACAATGTCCAACATACAAAGTAAAAATGTAAAAGTAATCCTCTCCCTCCAAATTTTAAAAGATGGAAGAAAATACATATCATCCTAGCTCAGAACTGTGGAAATAAAAAACAGTAACATTTCATCTGTGTGTGTACATGCATGTATCAAAATAAATGCCTTGTAAAACAATGCAAAATTATCTTTTACTGAAAATCAGAGCGGGGCCTTTAAAAATGTTTCATGTAGAGAGGGAAAAGGATTGAGAGAGGAAGAGGAATCAGATGGATTATTCAATTCTAAACATATATAAACAGAAATTTACCTTCTCTCTGGTGAAAGTGCTAAGGATCCTTGAAATGATGAAATGATTTAAATTAAAAAATGGGCTCTCTCACACTATTTTCTTCAAAAGTACTGGAACACATTCCTTTGATCAAATTACCTTTATCTCTAATGGGAGAATGTTCATATTGCAAGCCAAGTGAAAAGTTATCCAAGCCAACATCCTATAGTTTCTCCCTATACTGTATGCCCCAATATGGCTAGGTAATACAGCATATAACATGAAACTGGCATATTGAACCAGAATAGCTACTGTCTTTTAAAACATAGTCTTCAGTTCCTCTGCTTTCCAAAGCTGTGTCCATGATGTCTGGGCAATATAATGACTGAAGTCTAAGACATTTGCATTTGCAAAACAGCCCAACCTATCAAAAACAGTACCATAAAAAACAGATTAGAAACACAAGTTAAGATAGGCAAGAAAATGGTGAGTACCTGTCCAGCCTAGACGAGTTCAAATCACCAGGACCAGATAGATTACACCCCAAGGTTCTCAAGGAACTGGCAGATGTGATCTCAGAACCACTGAACTATATCTTTCAAAGCACTGGGGAACTACCGGAGGACTGGAAAAGAGCTGATGTAGTTCCCATCTTCAAAAAAGGAAAAAAAATGGATCCAGGAAATTATAGACCTATCAGCCTGACCTCAATACCTGGGAAGATTCAGGAAAAGATAATCAAACAACGAATCAACGAACACCTAGAAGCAAACAAAGTCATTACCAAAAGCCAACATAGGTTTGTCAAAAACAGATCATGCCAGACAAATCTTATTTATTTATTTATTTATTTATTTATTTATTTATTTATTTATTTATTTATTTATTATTTGAATTTATATCCCGCCCTTCTCCTTGCGGACTCAGGGCGGCTGACAATCAATTAAAAACACCACTAACAATCACAAGTTAAAATTAATTAAAATGAAATATTTAAATTGTCTAATTAAAAAGTAATTAAAAACCCCTCNTCCCGCTTGTTGGAACAGCCATGTCTTGAGGGCGCGGCGGAAGGAAGGGAGATCAGGGATCACCCTGATCTCTGGGGGCAGCTCATTCCAGAGGGTGGGAGCTCCCACAGAGAAGGCCCTCCCCCTTGGGGTCACCAGCCGGCACTGTCTGGCCGACGGCACCCTGAGGAGACCCACCCTGTGGGAGCGTACTGGCCGAGGGGAGGTAATCTGTGGCAGAAGGCGGTCTCGAAGGTATCACATTCTTTGACCAAGTGACAAAATTAGTGACCAGAGGAATGCTGTGGATATAATTTATTTGGACTTCAGTAAGGCATTTGATAAAGTCGATCACAACCTACTACTTGATAAGATAGAAAAATATGGATTAGACAGCATCACCATCAGATGGATGTAGCTGGCTGACCGGCCGTACTCTGCATGTAGTCCTCAATGGAACTGCATCTACAGTATATGAAGGGAAGTGAATAGAGGAGTGCCCCAAGGCTCTGTTCTGGACCCAGTGTACTTCAACATCTTCATCAATGATTTGGATGAGAGGATAGATGGGGAACTCATGAAATTTGCAGACAACACCAAACTGGCAGGAATAGCCAATACTCCAGAAGACAGGCTTAAGATACAGAAGGATCTTGACAGACTTGAACACTGTGCGCTATCTAACAAAATGAAATTTAATGGTGAAAAAAGTAAGGTTCTACATTTAGGCAAGAAAAACCAAATGCACAGGTATAGTATAGGAGGTACTTTGCTCAATAGTAGTAACTGTGAGAGGGATCTCAGAGTCCTAGTGGACAATCACTTAAATATGAGCCAACAGTGTGCTGCAGCTACCAAAAAGCCAACAAGTGCTAGGCTGCATTAATAGAGGGATAGAATCAAGATCACGTGAAGTGTTAATACCACTTTACAATGCCTTGGTAAGGCCACATTTAGAATACTGCATCCAGTTTTGGTCACCATGATGTAAAAAAGATGTTGAGACTCTAGAAAGAGTACAGAGTAGAGCAACAAAGATGATTAGGGGACTGGAGGCTAAAACATACAAGGAACAGTTTCTGGAATTGGGTATGTCTAGTTTAATGAAGAGAAGAATGAGGGGAGACATGATAGCAGTGTTCCAATATCTCAGGAGTTGCTACAAAGAAGAGGGAGTCAAGCTATTCTCCAAAGCACCTGAAGACAAGACAAGAAGCAACAGATGGAAACTAACCATCTGTTGGAGATAAGCAACCTAGAACTAAGGAGAAATGTCCTGACAGTTAGAACAATTAATCAGTGGAACAACCTGCCTCCAGAAGCGGTGAATGCTCTCACACTGGAAGTCTTTAAGAAGAAATTGGACAGCCATTTCTCTGAAATGGTATAGGGTTTCCTGCCTGAGCAGGAACTAGATGACCTCCAAGGTCCCTTCCAACTTTTATTATTATTATTATTATTATTATTATTATTATTATTATTATTATTATTATTATTATTATTATTATTATTATTATTATCATCATCATCATCATCATCATCATCATCACCATCATCATCATCATCATCATTATTATTATTATTATTATTATTATTATTATTATTATTATTATTATTATTATTATTATTATTATTATTATTATATAGAGCAGGCATGTCCAACTCGCGATGTCACGTGACGTCGCGCAATGTATTGGGCCGGTTTTGCCATTACTGGCAATGGGGTGGGCATGGCTTCCATGTGACTCATCCGGCCCATGGGCCGGCAGGTTGACACCCCTGATATAGAAGACCCAGATTGTGAAAGATGATCTAGGATAATTACATTTTTTTCTCCAAATACCAAGTCATTACCATCCCTGCTATCTCATTCCTATTTAAATAGGTCTGTGTAATGCCAATGTATATGTAAATTAACCCTAAGAGCTAAGTTATGGATTCTATTTCTCAGATATGAATTAAATATGTACATTAGCACTTGCCACCAATTACATTATTTGATGCTGATATGCTACAGACAACAATGTCACATCTCTGTTGGGTTCTAGGTGTTCGCTGAGATTGGCTTCATTCTTATAAATATTTCATGACTAAACTAGTTAATATAATCAATATTTTTACATGAGAGAGTGGGTTTTTCTGGCTTTTTTCATGGATTGTCTTCTGAGAGCCAAGCTACATCACTTGAATGCAAATTAGGTTCAACAGTGACTTTTAGCCACTGGATAGGGTCCTGCCTCAGTGAACCTCTGCTTCTGATGGTTACATTTTGGGTGCATTAACTGTTCAAAGCTGGAAGAAATATACATCTCCTTGTGTTTCTTCTTTTTGCTGAACATGTTGTTGAATATCTTTCTTTTCAACATGGTTCAGCTATTTTTAATGGAGCATACATACCTACACACGTGCACCATATTGAGCTCCTCCTTTTGTCAACCTGTGGTTATCATTTGCCTGTTTCTTTCTTTTCAGTCCTTGCATTCATTTTCTCACACACATACTTGTATGCACATACATTGTTACAGTGATTACGGTACAAACTTTAGGTTTAAATATTAAAACAGTTCCCTCCAAGCTTCAATAATTGCCTCAACTTGATCTTCATTTTTCACAGAGGTTTGAATACTACATAGAGAAATAAATACAATGCTTTTAGTGCATTCAAAAAGAAATAATCCATGAATTTTCAGCAAAAAGAGCTTTTTTGTCTGCCAAAAATAAATGAAATCCACATTGCTGCTTATGAAATATGTTGTTTAAGGTGAAGTTGGGACAGTTTAAACCTTTGCATATTTGTGAGCATTGTTGCTATCAATATTTTATTTCCAAGAATGAAAAGCAGGACCGATAGAAACCATGCAAGAAAATATATCACCATAACAATCCATAATGAAAAAGTATGCTATAAAGGGGAAAAAAGAGGTGCAAAAAAATTCTATTATCCTATCTATTCTAATAGGTGGAAAAGAATTCTATTTATTTTAAATATTTACCCTCCAATTCATATTCCTCCTAGTTAGGCCATTTCTCACACTTATGATAACAGATTTTTTCCCAAATTTTAGCATCAACACTTTTGCTACTATTATATTTCAGATTAATTCTACCCAGCAATTATTATTTCTTTTCTTAATATCTGTAAGCATAATTTTATTTGTATATGGCTAACTATCTATATATCATTGATTATTTAGAAATTAAGTTCTTAAAACAGAAAGGATTTTCAGAATTTCTCAGAATCCAAGTCATGGTCTTCTTCTCAATTGTTCTATAACCAAATAATTGTTTATTTTATTTTATCATTTTATTCAATTTGTACATCATCTAACTCTCGATGAATCTGAGTGGATTACAAAAAGAACAAAAACTATTAAAAAAGTAAAGTAAGAGCATAAAAGAAGACACAAACGTGGCAAAACTGGGTAGCAACAAACACACCCAGTCCTAAAGCTATATTATTTCAAATCTTTATTAGCAAAGAATAAGCTATAAAGGACTTGTATTTGGGGGAATATTTATTAAAGCCAATAGAAGTAGGATTCAGTCAAAATATATTTAATGCACATTGAGAGACATTTGCTTTTTAATTCATATGTTTCATCTAATTCATCCTCAGTTTCACACTTTACTGCAGGGATCCCCAACCCCGGGTCTGTAGACTGGTACTGGGCCATGGCACGCCAGCAACCGGTCTGCATAAACAACCAAAGCTCCATCCATGGGATGCAGGCAGCACACAAAACAAGACACTCTCTAGTCCGTGGAAAAATCTTTCTCCACGGACTTGGTCCCTGGTGCCCAAAAGGTTAGGAACCTCTGCTTTACTGGGAGGCAAGCCATTTGTTGCATTTTTTTATTTTGTTGTTCAGTTGCTTCTGTGAATAGACATCATTTTACTACAATTGTCTGTAGCTTCTTTGAGCTTTTCTAAGCTCATGTTTGTGTCATCGCAGCAATATCTTCTGTCAGTCTCTTTTTTAATTGCCTTTAATTTTTCCCAGCATTAGAGTTCTGACTTTTCATTATTTATCTCAGTTTTAACTTCATTATTACAAATATATCCTTTGTTTTTATTGTAGTTCCACGATTCTCAACGCCTTTTTTTAATCACCACAATTCAAAGACATTTTTCTTCATTAGCCTATTCTAATGGTCCAGCTTTCATATCCATCTGTTATAATTGGGAACAGAATACACTTTATATAATGGAATAGCAGACTAGTTTTGGCACTTTCTCCCTCTAAATTCCTTAAATCTTCTTTACTTCTAGTCATCAATATGGTATCATCACCATATTTGAGGCTGGTCATATTTTTTCTGTCAAAGTTAATTCCAATTTTTATTTCTTCTAATCCAGAGGTCCCCAATCCCCGGGCCACGAACCAGTATAGGTCCTTGACCTGTTAAGAATCAGGCCGCACAGCTGGAGGTGAGCAGTGGGCGAGCAAGCAAAACTTCATCTGTATTTGCAGCCACTCCCCAATGCTAGCATCAACGCCTCAACCCAGTGGTGGGATTCAGCCGGTTCGCACCACTTCAGCAGAACTGGTAGCTAATTTTTTGTTGCCCAGGTCCAGAATGGATTTCCAGAAGTGGCATCCATACAGAGAACTGGTTGTTCACATATTTGAATCCCACCACTGCCTCAGCCCCACCTCTGATCATTAGCCATTAGATTCTCATAGGAGTGTTATTGTAAACTGTGCCTATGAGGGATCCAGGTTGCGCGCTCCATGTTCCCCCACCCGGTCCATGGAAAAATTGTCTTCCACAAAATTAGTCGTTCGTGCCAAAAGGATTGGGGACCACTGTTCTAATCCATCATTTTTACATTATATTTTCCATACAGATTAAGTTAAAAGGTTGAATCTTAGCATATGCTTTTCCCAATTTTCAACCATTTTCAATATTCAATTCTAACTGTTGATTCATGGGTTATCATACCAGTTCTTCAACAGGAGGTGAAGCAGCTCAATACAGTGCTTAAGGAATGTCTATAATTTGATATAATCTACATAGACAAAGTAGAACAATCTGAATAATGGATGTCTTTTTGCAACTCCTAAGCTTTTCCATTATCAACTGTTTAATAGTATGATCTCAGATGCCTCCGCTTCTTCTGAATCCAACTTGTACATCTGGCAGCTGAAACCCGGATTACAAACTCTTACTTACTTGTGACGTATATGCAATTATATAGTTAAGCATTATTTCGCACTTTTGCTTTTTGATATTGGAATAGAAATGAGTATTTTCCAATCTTTTTCACCATTTCTGTGTCCTTATCTGCTTACTGTATAAACTGAAGTAGACTTTTATTCTGTTATTAATAGGTGAGAAATTTTAGCACTTCATATAACATTAAAAATAATTTTGTTATAGATTTTAATGGGCATGCCATATGGAAGTATACCTAGAAAAATTGTGCCCAGGGCTGAACAACCCACTGCTATGGATTTCTCTGTTCTTTGGGATTTTGAGGTAGGTACTTCTTGCATTTTTGTTTAACCTTAGTTCCTCAGTCTTTTATGATTAAGGGTACGGGTTAAGCAAAAAAGATTAAATGTAAGCATCACAAATGAAACGTATATTGCTGGTCATCCTACCGAAACAAACATTGTTACATAATATATGTATTTAAATGAACTATATATATAAAATAAGTATCGTAGAAATGTACAATGACATTAAGCCTGGTTCGGTTTTCATTCTCCTCTGTTAGGGGAATATTATTTGGGAGTGGAAGAGCAGCTTATGTGATTTCTTCAACAAATGCATAACACATTTACTGCTTTGTGAATTTGGACTATGTGATTTGGAATTTATTTAATGTGGAGCAATATATAGAACAGTAAGATGCAAAGTTCACCGACTACAGAAAAAATTGTGAAAGAGCAAAATTGCACTTATTTATTTAAGGAAGCACAGGGAGTAGGAAGCGAAGAAAGAAACTAAAAATGTGTTTAAATGTTTTTTTAAATGTTCCTTTGATTTATAAGGCAAGAGTTATCTTAACTGTGCAGCAGTCACAATAAATATATAAATAATGGTAAATAATAATAAGCTCTGATTCCATTGAAGAGGTATTTTGCCTCTGTAAAGTAGCTAATGACCTGTTGGTTTATTTATTGGGGTTTATTTATAAAGAAATAAAGTGCTCCAGCCAAAGCTAACAACAGCATTCAATGTGACATACTCTAGAAAAACATTATTTTCAAAGTATGCAAGAAAACATATTGGGAATCAAATTTGCAACAGGATAGCAAGGAATTAAAGCTAACCTCATCCATTTCTGCCATCAAAACCTGATTACTTTTCCATTCTGGTGATATGGACAACCTGGCCAGGCAAATAAGCCTTTAATCTCAAAACACCTGAAGAAGAATATCAGACATTCCTTTCTCTTTCTAACAATAAACAGATGAATTGGCTTTTTTTATATACACAAAATCAGCTGCCTAAGGCAGATAAACTAGTCCTGTGTCATTCAGTTATGAAGAAATATAACCTACAGGCACAACATTTCCTGTAGTTCAAAGATACAGGTAATCCTCGACTTAAAACCATTCGTTTAGTGACCATTCAAAGTTACAACAGCATTGATAAAGGTGACTTATGACCATTTTTCACACAACTATATTTCAGCATCCCTATGGTCACATGATCAAAATTCAGATGCTTGGGAAGTGGCTCATATTTATGACGGTTGCAGTATCCCAGGTTCATGGGATCATCTTTTGCGACCTTCTGACAAGCAAAGTCAATGGAGAAACCAGATTCCCCATAACAACTGTGTTATTACCTCAACAACTACAGGCACAACCACAATTGAGCCCAAAATTTCTGTTGTTAAGTGAAACATTTGTTAAGTGAGTTTTCCTCATTTTACAATCTTTCTGGCCATAGTTGTTAAGTGAATCATCGTAGTTGATAAGTTAGTAACATGGTTGTTAAATGAATCTGGCATCCCGATTGATTTTGCTTGTCAAAAGGTTGCAAAAAGTGATCATAGCAACGGTCATAAGTATGAGTTAGTTTGCCAAGCAGCTGAATTCTGCTCACATGATCATAGAGATGCTACAAAGATCGTTAAGTGTGAAAAACAGTCATAAGTTACTGTTTTCAGTGCTGTTGAACTTTGAACAGTCACTAAATGAACTTTTATAAGTTGAGGACTCCCAACAGAGATTCACTTAACAACTGTGGCAAGAAAGGTTGTAAAATGGAGCAAAACTCAATTAATAAATATCTTGCTTAGCAGCATAAATTTTGGGTTTAATTGTGGTTGTCAGTCAAGGACTACCAGTATGTTTCATTTAGTATATGGTTGGTTAAGGGTCGGTGTTGTCTCTGGTTGGCTGTGCGGTTGGTTTGGACACCCACACCTGAAGCCCTTATAAACAGAAGAGCACTGACACAGACATCTCCTAAACTCCGTTGAAGATGTTACCTAGCTTGGTTATGAAATGTTTGGAAACCAACCCACAAGCTCGGAGAATGAACTTTCACCCTCACATATGTGTAAATCCAATCCTAAGAATTGTATTATAGAAATTATAACACCAGATAAACTATATGTTAGCATTTTATAGTGATCCTTATCCCATGGTACTATCTCTGCAGGCTCACAAAGTTAACCTATCTACGGATGCATTGAAGGTCAGGACAATATATTTCATAGAGTATATATCATTAAGATTAGATTTAACAGTGAAAAAGATGAATAGTCAGTATTGTTGATCCCAGTATGCCCAGCTTCAGGTAGCGTAGATGAGCTAGATTTCAGCTCAAATAATATTTTTCCAGTAAATCAGTTATATAATAAGATGACAGACAGGTTTCATTTTAACTGAAGACATTCATTTTGGAAAAATGTTCTGGAGGCTATAATTTTCATTTTATGCTTGCACTGGAAAAAGTCAGAGAAATAACAGGTAAGACATTTCAAGACCACCCAGCCAATAAGAATATTTTTAATGATAATAATAAATTCTGAGTCTTAACATAGAAAAATGAGGATGTTCATATTGTTTATTTTATTTTTGCATTTGCAACATGATAATGAAAGAACAGATCTAAACACTACTATGGAAAATGTGCTAAAATGATTGTAAGCATGGAACAGAATATAGGAGGATTAGAGTATACAAGCTCTTCCCATATTGTTTAGAAAAGCAGAAATAGTGCTCTCATGACACTGCTATGACAACATAATTTGAGGAAACTATTATTTGAAAAGATGTTGGCTGACATATAATACTTACTGATTATTTGAAAATTGTTTTTAAAATGTACCTGAATACATTTGCCAAATCTAGCTGCCAAATCCAAATACTAAAAAGTAATGCTTATTGAATTCAGATATTTTTAAATAAATACATTGAAGATTATGTTAAAATTGATACCATATAGAATGTACTAGACAGACTTCAATAACCAGAATTTTAAAATGAATCCAGTTGATCCTCAACCAGCCACTTATAATGGAATAAGTTTAGATTTTAAATTATGTAAATGGACATCTGATATGGTCCTTTCCTCCTTTCAGGGTTATATTAAACATTCAGCCATTTTCTATGGCTACTACAACAATCAAAGGACAATTGGTTGGTTAAAGTACAGGCTACCAATGGCATATTTCATGGTTGGTGTCATCGGCGTGTATGGTTATAGCCTGATGGTTGTAATAAGATCGTAAGTTCTATTTGTTCTTTATGTAGTTCCACACTATATATTCTTCCCATGAAGCAACCATATACCTTTCAAACCGAATAGAAGGAAACAGAAAAAGATGTACATCTTCAGGATATTGACCTTGCTTTATTGCACTATCCCAAAAAATACAAGGAATATATATCAAAATTGAAACTGCCCACTTATTCTATCTTAATCATAAAATCCAAGAAATTGGAGAATGTCAGCTTAATCTGAGACTATATGGTATATTAATATGGCCCTTATTCGAAGGTTTGCCAGAACAGCATATGTGAAGCATTTGTTCGCTCATTCATTCATTCATTCATTCATTTATTCATTCATTCATTCATTCATTCAATATGTCCCTAAATAGTGATAAAGATTTTAATAAATGTTTAATAAGTACAGAGAAAACACAGAAATTGCTGCAAAAAATCTGTGCATAAGAGAGACACCTGGTGGCTAAATAGACTATATATTATTCCATCTACAGGATGGCCCGGAATGCCCATGAAGACACAGGGGATGGAGATGATGAGAACTTCATTTTTAGCTGGAAAATGTTCACTAGCTGGGACTACCTTATAGGCAATCCAGAGACAGCAGATAACAAGTTTGCATCCATCACAACTAGCTTCAAGGTACCCTCCAGGCAAGATGCAAACACCTCTGTTGTATTGCAACTTTGGCAGAATTTCAAAGGAGAAAATATAGACATTGTACATAACAACTGAATCCTCATATCCAGCATTTTATCAGAAGATGTACAGGTTGTGTTTTTTTAAAACATTGTAGCTACTTGTATGATCAGTGTCTTCATTGGAAGGTTTCGTTGATAATATTGTTGCTCTATATAGTCGATATTGAGGTCCCATGTGACACATTACAAGTATCTCATGTTGCTTGCTTTTTTTAACACAGGTATATAATTTTTCAATTCAATATTCTCATCAAACATAGACAAACTTTTTAAATATATGATAATAAAATTGCTATAGGTTTTAAGGCCCCTAATTCCGGGGAATTTCTATCTTTAACTTTGCATGGAGATATACTTCCAGTCAGAGTTGATGCGCAATTTGGAGGTCTTCCTGGACTCTCAAAGAGCAGATGGCAGCTATGGCAAGTGGTGGCATTTTGCATTGGTTTGTCTTGTGCACCAATTGCTCCCATTCCTGGGCCAATGGTAACTCAGACATCCACAGTTTAGATTATTGTAATGTTCTCTATATACTTGTAGCGCTACCTCTTTAGAGGCCGCCAATGCCCAGGCCCTCCCAGCCACAACCCCCCTTGTCCAGCCTTGCGGTAATGTTCTTTAGAGATCGGTGAGATGTCTTACAACCGGAACTCATGCAGCATTGATGGGTGGCAGGCTCTTCTTGTTGAAGCAGGACTTTCAGGCACGAACTTAACCGGTCACAATGGTTGAT